GAATACCGGTTGTCGGTTTTTAAAGAGCAAAATATTGCTGTAAATGAATACGCGCGATAGAATTGAAAAAAACGTGCTACTGCTTATCGTTGTTATTTATTAACATTATATTGTAATAAACAATGGCTAAGTGTTTTTGTATAACTTGGACGACGGTGTAATTGATTTTAACGTTGAAACTTTTAAAAACTGTTCATTGAAATTAGCTTTTCGTAAAATAAGAAATTTTAAAGACAATGCGTCGCTCGATTTTGTTGGTTATCATACCACCTGCTTTTAATAAAAAATATAGGAAAGAATTTAATGATTTTAATGCTGAAAAATTATTAAAAAATATTTTTTTTTTTTGAAAAAATTGCACCTGTTTTGTTAATTTTCGACATACATAAACTTTTCATTATTTCCTTAAAAAAATGTTGAGAATATAAACAAAAAATCTGATTTCTGTGACTTTTTGTAACATCATTATTAAAGATATTTTCATTCATCTAAATCAACACTTAATAAAAATTATATCAAACATTTTTATTTAATCATGAAAATTCACTTTTAAGGTGCATGCCAAAACATCTACCGCTGATAAAGACCCAAAATGTCTAGATTCTAGTGTCACTTCCTGTACGACAGTTACTGGGGTGAAGACAATAATATTAATTTTCATTTTGGGTAATTAAATATTTTGTTATTTTTTTTTTTGAGCAATTTTTTACTTGTATTTTTTTCGTCAGTATTTTATATGAGAACAATAATATCATTGTAAAAATTGATTTAGTACTTTTAGTTATTTATTGATATCTTTAATGTAAATGTAACTATTGCTTTCATTCTAACAACCATACCCGCAATTAACTTTTGCTCTGTCTGAAGGGGCGCAAATGAGGTAAATTTAAAAAAAAATCATAGAAGCCACAAATGGCACTGTACACCTTTCTCCTTGGGATATGGTATGTAGTTTGCTCTTTTCTTCATTCCTGATACCATGCTAGAATTTATCGAAACGTCTGAGAGGGTGCAATTCGGGATGAGATTAAAGAAAAAATCATAGAAGTCACAAATGGCTTTGTACACATTTCTGCTTGGGATATGTTATGTAGTTTGCTCTTTTCCTCATCCCTGATAACATGCTGGAGTTTGTCGAGCCGTCTGAGGGGTTGCTACTGGGGGTGAAATTTAAAAAAATCATAGAAGCCACAAATAGCACTGTACACCTTTCTGCTTGGGATATGTTATGTAGTTTGCTCTTTTCTTCATCCTCGATACCATGCTGGAGTTTGTTGAGCCGTCTGAGGGGTTGCTACTGGGGTGAAATTAAAAAAAAATCATAGAAGCCACAAATAGCATTGTACACCTTTCTGCTTGGGATATGTTATGTAGTTTGCTCTTTTCTTCATCCTCGATACCATGCTGGAGTTTGTCTAGACGTCTGAGGGGATGCAATTCGAGGTGAAATTAAACAAAAAAATTATAGAAGCAACAAATGACTTTATAAACCTGTCTACTTGGAATATGTTATGTAGTTTGCTCTTTTCTTAATCTCTGATATCAAGCTGGAGTTTGTCGAGCCCTCTGAGAGAGTGCAATTGGGGGTGACATTTAAAAAAAATCACAGAAGTCACAAATGGCTTTGTACACCTTCTGCTTGGAATATTTTATGTAGTTTCACCTCCAACTGCACCCCTCAGATGGCGCGACAAACTCCAGCATGGTATCAGGGTTGAAGAAAAGAGCAAACTATATAACATATCCCAAGCAAAAAGATGTACAAAGCCACAAATGGCTTTTATAACTTTTTTTTTAAATTTCACCCCCTCAGGCACAGCAAAAATTAATTGCAGGTATGGCTGTTAAGTATTGTAACCTCCCCAATTGCAATCTGCGAATGAAAAGCCTCTACATGTAATTTAAACCAAGTTATGTGACTATTATGATAGAGCTATATTTTTCTCAGTGTATATTTGTGGATAGCGGAAAGGTGTACAAAGCCATTTGTGACTTCTATGATTTTTTTAAATTTCACCCCCAATTGCTCACCCTTAGACAACTTGACAAACTCCAGCATGGTATCAGGGATGAAGAAAAGAGCAAACTATATAACATATCCCAAGCAAAAAGATGTACAAAGCCATTTGTGGCTTCTATGATTTTTTTTTAAATTTCACCCCCTCAGACAGCAAAAGTTAATTGCAGGTATGGCTGTTAAGTATTGAAACCTCCCCAATTGTAATCTGTGAATGAAAAGCCTCTACATGTCATTTAAACCAAGTTATATGACTATTCCGATAGAGCTATATTTTCTCAGTGTACATTTTTGAATAACTTCACACCCGTTAAGTATGTAACTAGAATGAAGATATACTTGGCATTCTATATTTTACTCTTCACAGTTCAACAAATCCCCATTTTTATTTAGATTTTTTTCAAAATCAATAGGCTTTGTCTCCTTATAGAGCTTGATTGATTTTCAAATTGATATTGTTTTTCATTTTTAACTTATCATGTGGACAAAAAACGTGACATCGGAAGGAACAGAACCAAATGCATAATACTCTTCACAGACTACTATGTGAAGAGTATAATAAGTATCAATATTCTTTTAAATCAGGTTTGACCATGAAAATCAAATATCTTTCACATTGTACATACAATTTGTTTTTTTACTCATATATCAAATATTACATCTTTTTAAATAGATTATGTACTGTTGTATTGGGTATAACTTATATATTTAGCTCTCCAACCATGTATGACAACTAGGATGTTAATAAGTTCCCCCTTCAATTCTTAAAAACAGTTTTAAGAATTTACTGATATCATCTATAATTCATGAGTAATAGTTTTTAAATTATCATGTTTTATAATAAGAATGATACATGATTGAAAAGGTGTTGATCAAAATGGAATGCAGCATCTCCAAAAACAATGTATTAATTTCTGAAGTTACAAGAAATATTGCCATGGTAAGCAATGCAGAACTAAATTAAGTTTATAAAATAAAATGACATACACAGTGAACTGAGTTAAATTTTCATAGCCAAGCCCAATCTAAGAAAGGTTTAAACTGTGGGAAGACTTATTAGCATATTTAAAATGATTACCTTGAGAATCCGGACCTTTGTTGTAAGTTTGGATTTTTTATAGCCAAATCTTTCAAGTTCCCATGCATCTTGGTTACTAAATCTATGGCAAACGATACTCAGATGTTTCTCCCATTTGTCAGGTTTGACTGACTTCTTAACTCTTCGTAAAAGTTTCAAGATAATATTTAGCAGATGTGGATGAACTGAAAATTTTATAAATGTATTTTTATAGGTACCATCAATGAAAAAAAAGTTAAATTTGTTAATGTTATGAAATTGTCAATTTGTTCTTGGATTCATACTTAACAGGTTGGCTCCCAAGCCCAAATTTGAGGACTATGTTTTGTGGTACCATATGAATCACCAGTGATACTTTTGGTAGGGTTCCTTCTGTACCGTGTGTATCACTGGTGATATAGAGCATTGCTTATTGCAAACAGCTTTAAAAATACATGGTTCCAATTTAAAAGAATTTAAACTAAAGAACCTGTGAGGTACTGATATATACATGTAAGTATGTAAAACCAATACAACCGTTTAAGACATAAAGTAATATACTAAAATTTAAGTCAAAACTACTTTGTACACAACAGGTAACTTCTAACTTTCTTTTATGGTTTATGCAGATAATCAAATTTTGTATCACATTTGATACACATGGGAGCCAAGGTGTTAATATATGAAAAACTTTTTATTTTCTGTACCATATTTTATTTTTTTTTGCATCAGACATAGGCATAATGGTGAGTTGCGGGTGCCTATTAAGCATACTATGTTTAAATCAATTTAACAAAATTTTCAATGCAGGTAGGTAGGAAGTTAATTAATATTAATATTCCTAACACTGAATATGAGAAAAACAATAGTCAGCACTGAATATAAAAACAATAGTAGTTATCTATAAAAATAAATAAGGATATTAAAGTCAATGCTATTAATAAAGGTATAACAGCAGTAGCAGATGGTTAAGAGAGAACCTATGTAAAAAACATTAAAATTTTACTTATAGGTAGTTCGCTGTAAAAAATGTTTTAAAATCTATTTAGAATTTGTTATTAAAGCCAATGCTTTAAAGTGACTATGATATAAACATCTAGTTTTAAATATAATTGCAGCTAATTATGTTTTAATGAAACTGAATCATATAAAAAGAATGTTTGAAATTGGATTAAAAGAATTATTAGTATTGATCCAGAAAAAAGAAATTAACTATTTACCCTTGGAACAACGTGTAATTAAAACTTTAGAATTGATATAAAAGTAAACAATATCCTTGTTAGTTCATTATAAATAAACAAAAGGGGAGTGTGCATTTAAATGTTATTTACCTTCCTCCGAATTTTCGAGCATTTCTTGTAGTTCCAAAAAATCTAAATTTGGTAAACCACATTGCGGGCCGAATTTTTCCAAAAACGCACAAATAACTGCGAAGTTTGGATCATTTTCACATGAAGCATCAATGTCCGACGCCATTTGTAGCGGTTCAACTTTGACAATTAACCCAACAGAACATATTATCTATGTTTCTAAAATATAATAAAATATATAGAATAAACGTTTTATCCAATAATTGTAACTTGTAAGTAATAAATAAAACATTAAATGTTCATTTTCACAATAAAAAATTAGTATACACAAACCATTGGTTGTCAACTTTACGTCACTGTTTGAGATTTTTTGAGTTTTGAGGCGACTGTCAGACTGTCAAAAATCCTGTCATTTGTCATTATTCATTTTGTGGTCGTGTTCGGATATTTTTCGCTCCCTTCTTCGAGCATTAGTCAGTTTTGCCAGGTCTACAGATTTTTCAGTAGATCTACTGATTTGGCTATTTGTCTACTGATATCTATTGAAAAAAGCCGTTTTCATTATTTTTTATTATCCGTTTTTTGTGTTTTTTTTTTTAAATTATAGTCACATAAGAATTAAAAAAAAATTAAAAAGTCATAAAAAAATCACAGCAATACACGCGACTTGTGTACTCTTTGCTGTCACTTTTGTCACCAAATCACGGCTTAAAATCACTGATATTTAAATGTCGCAGGAACAAGTATCAAGACGGTTTTTCCACTAAACGGACAGTTTTTGTTTTCTGGAACTTGAAAAACAACAACAAAACTATATCTCCGAGAGAAATTTTTGTGTGTTTACACTGGAATAAGCAACTGTCAGACATAAATCTCTTGCAATAAATGTCAGATGTAAACGTACCTTAAGACAAACCCAAAACTCTTGTTTCCATTAAGCGGGCTACATTTTGTCCTAGTTTTGTTTTTGTTTTTGGTCCTTTTCCACTGGTTGTCGCGAGAAAGTCAGAACATATTTTTTCAATATTTTATTAATGTTTGTATATTTATTTTTTAAGATCGATTCAACTTGAAAATACATATAAAAATAGTTTAAAAGATGTATATGTGAATCATAAAAACCTAAAAAGTCTATCTCTAACACAGAGATATATATTCTACCACAGTTTTAAGGTATATTCTTTGAACTGTGATTCTACTAATAAATATACTTATTATATAATGTATCAACCGTTTCAAAATAAATTACTTATTTATAAAACAAAAATAACTTATTTACTTAACTACATCAATTTGGTACAACATTTAGACTACACAACACGCGCGACCGTTTCCAGTTTCAAAACACGTCGAAACCCATATATAGAATCGAAACCTTCAGATGTTATCGCCTCCGAGCGGGACTCAACAAACAAAACTCCAACTGTCGTAAAACACGCCAGTCTTTAAAAAGTTTGTGGAAAGTTGGAGTTTTGTTTTTTTCGACACGAGTTTGTGTTTTGTTTTTGTTTTGTCCGTTTAGTGAAAGAAAATCAAAGTATGTGGTTTAGTGCATTGTTTAGTGGAAAACCGCCATCACGCTGTGTTGTTTTATAACTTTCCTGGGAATTTTTAGGGAATCCCGGCGTCCGTTGTTTGTATTTTGTGTCGTTGTGTGGTGTGTTTCGAGTTATATATACATATGCAGTGTACGCTATGGTATGGTATATAAAAATTAAAAATTATTGTGGTTTTCTGGCTGGTGTTTTACTGTATAATCAAGCAAAGAAATAAGCTTTCCATGGCGAATATTGTTGGCAATTTACATGTAAAAACTTACTTATACGGAGTAGAAATGCTAATTGCCATACTGTAAAGTTTTAGGAGGTCTTAGTACCGATTCCACCGTTGTGTTAAACGGAGATTAAAATGACGTTGTTAATGTAAAAATGTCATTTTAAACTTCGTTTAACACAACGGTGGAATCGGTCCTTATAGCCCTTAATAATAATAGCATGTACTTACAAAAAAATGATAATGAGTTGACTGATTCTGACTCCGATTCCAATTAGAAAATATTTATTTTAGTGAAGTGTTTATATTGTTTAAGGGCCGATTCCACCGTTGTGTTAAACTGAGATTAAAATGACGTTGTTAATGTAAAAATGTCATTTTAAACTTCGTTTAACACAACGGTGGAATCGTTTCTAAGTTATTTTATTTTTTTAAATCTAATGTTCCAATTCTTAATAAACTATTTTTTATATAGTAGTTATTTGTGTTTGATTTTCTATTGTTAATATGATTTGGTTGTTAATTTTTATGGTCTAACATTCTAACGAGTCAAAACAGTGTAAAATGCGTAAAATTAAGGCTTACACTGATTGGAAGAGGCTACACTGCAATGTTAATTTTTTTTTACTCCCACATGGATATTAGCTTATCTACGCACAGATTACAAAACGAAAAAGTATGCTATTGCCTTTAACTGAACGAATATATTTCATATCCATTCTAGGTAGTTGAGAACACTTTAAAAAAATGAAATCCACCAATTACCGTTCATATTTTGATCAACTGACTGCTATTATTTTTAAAATTTTAAATAAGTGACAATTCTGTCAAACTAATTGTCAGTATATTTTTTAGTTATTGAGATTAAACATACATTAAAATGAGTTATTCTTGTGTAGAATCGATAAATAATAGCATTTCTGTTTTTCTATTTCGTCTATAATTATTAGTAATTGGTTAATTTAAATAAAACAAGATGATGCCAATTTAATTACGAGTATTAGAGCAAGAAAAATAAGCACATAGATGGTTCGGTGGTCAGCGTTCTTGCCTTCCATACGGAAGACTCGAGTTTGAATCTCCGGATGGGGGATTGTTTATTTTATTTTATAAATTAATAAAAGTCATAAATTATTTTTAAATTAATTAGTTTATCTTAGGACCGATTCCACCGTTGTGTTAAACGAAGTTTAAAATGACATTTTAACATTAACAATGTCATTTTAATCTCCGTTTAACACAACGGTGGAATCGATCCTTAAAAACCTAAAATAATTTTTAATATTTGTAGATTTTCTTAGTGGGACGTAGAAAAAATATACTGTACAACTCGAGTGGATTGTCCATATCCACTGTTGTTGCAGAAACTACTATTTTGTCAATTTAATTAGGCAACTCATTTTCCTACAGAATTTTAAACAGGCAGGAAATAAAAAAAAATATGACCTGGCAACACTGCAACATGCACGTTAGACAGGGCTGGGGTTAGGTTCGAACACATGGACAAAGTTGGCGCGAAACCCTAAAAAATCGAAATTAAAATTTAAAATCCATTAAACATAACCTTTATGTCGTGTATTTGTGAAGTGAAAACCCATATGAAAACAATATAGTGAAAATAGAAAAGTGAATTTGTTTGTAGTTGATGTTGATTTTAATTCTATTGAAAATTATTAAGGTTTATCAATAAAATATAATAATTTAACGTTTGGTTACTTTACTCCAGTGGAAATATAGTAGAAATGGAAGAAGAACAACATCATAAAGCATTAAATTTGGGTAAAGTTGTAGTTTTCTTAAATTATTTACTTTACTATAGGCGGTTTGTGAACAGTTTGATATTACAATTTAATTTAAAACTAATAAGCCAAACAGTCTCTAAAATAATTGAAAAGCATACCTAAATATTTAGAAATTTGTTTTTATGCATTGAACGTTTAAAAGGAATTATATTCCTAATTTAACTTCTTAGTGTACATGTTTTTGTATGCAGATAAGCCGCACTTGACACAAATTCACCCTGCATATAAGATGTACTTAACACAAATTCACCCTAAAAACAAATACCCAATTCCATATTATATGGACATTCACTTTCCTTCCAGTGTTTTTTATAATTTTGTTATTTTTTATTAATAATTGGTCATCTGAGATATGTTAAATTTCTATTTGTCTAATAGCTTTTGGCCTTTTACAAAACTTTCTTAAATAACAGTATTATGTGATTCCTGTGATAAAAATGTTTCATTTTTTCCATTCTTATGCATCCTCTACAATTGAAACCCTTGGTGTAAAAAGGATGCAAGCCACAATTTGTCGTGAAGTTACTGTTTTAGCTCAAAACATCTGATAACAAAGATACTAGCCACATACCATTTTTTTACCTCTATTCTGAAAGATAACGTTATTTTTTCTAATATTTATATTTAAATAGTTTTTTTATTTATATTTGACAGATTTAAAACACAATTTTTTTAAAACTTAGGATGTGGCATGTAAGTTACCTTATTACGCCAAGGTCTTCAATGAATTCATTAATCTCTTTGTATCTATCATTAATAATTTTTAAATTCGTCAGTTTTTATTATGTATGTATTATTTTAATTGAATAAAGTCATCCATTGTGGTTTTTCATTACAATTTATTCAACATAATATACATGCATGGAAAGACATATTTTATTTATTTATTAGCCATTTAGTTTACAGTAATTTAATTTACAAATTATTGCATAAATATACGCAATAACTTAAATATAAACAAGGTATCCTAATTAACTAACAGTGGGACTTAAGTTCACTAGTAGCCTAACAGTCAAAGTAATCAAGAACTTATAAATTAGAAGACAACACTTTTAATGGTCTATTTTTGAATATTCATTTTTTCTCATTGTTAGGAATTGATTAAACCTTGCCTCCTGGTTGCATTATTGAAGGGAGAGAAAAATAAGTAGCTATTCAGCGCACAATGGCAAGTTAATATGCTGTGCCTGCTCTTAATGACACTTATATACATTCTTATAGGAACAGGTTAATTAGATATAAATCACATTTACTTAAAATTACCCTCAAATGATCTAATATTAATAGTTAGAAAAGCAAATGCTGAAAATGAATAAATTTTAGGATTAGAGGATGTTATATTTATAAAAGATAAGTAATCGAAAAATTTGTTTCAACTATCCATTAGTTTATCCTCTTTTTGGTTATATGATATGACTTATTTTTAAATCCCTGAGGTAAACAATTATATACCTTAGGACCTACACAATAGATATGGTTCTGACATGCAGTATGTGTAGGATTTTGAAGCCATAAATCTTTTTTAGCAGCCAGTCTAGTATTAATGCTATCAGACAATCCTTGTTTAAAATGGTTTGTTTTTAACATAAATCTGATTATCGATTTCAAATAAAGTTGATCAGGAGTTAGTAAATTACTATCTTTATAAACCAGTTCGGTTGAATATCTTCTGTTTTTAAAAAGCATAATTTTAATTATGTATTTTTGTGCCAATTTGTAACTTAGAGACAAGTGTTTTACCAGCATTACCCCAAACAACTAACCCATAGTTTATGATTGATTCTATAAGACAGAGATAGACAGCTTTTAACATTTTTGGAGAAAGAATGTTACGTATTGTATATGATCTTTCCATGTGAGATTTTCGTCAATGAGTACTCCCAAGTATTTAATGTTATTTGATCTTTTTATAGTATTTTTACACTGACAATTATTATTTAATTGGCATGTTTGGTCATGAAGAATGATTTTATGAAAATTAGGAGATGTTCTAGCCGAAAGAGAGAAAGTTAAAAATTTTGTTTTATCAATATTTAGGCATAGTAGACTACTACCCAACCATTTTTTTAGTTTAAACATGGCCATCTCTGCCTTTTTTACCGTTATCAGCCAATCCTCCCCACTTATTATGACAGCCATGTCATCGGCAAAATAGTAGACATTCCTCTCATTGATAGTGGACAAGATGCCATCTACATATATATTAAATAGCAATGGTGCCAGCACGGTGCCCTGTGGCACACCAAACTCTACTTTAAGTTCCTCGCTTACCTCCTTTTGAAATCTAACACGTTGGGATCTACCACTTAAGTATGATTTAATTAAATTGTTGGCTGTACTCCTTATACCAATGTGATGTAACCTATCTAGTAGCATTTGGTGTGTCAAAGGCTTTAGCCAAGTCTAAAAATATACCTTATTCCCCTGATCCAATATTTGAAAAATTTTACTAGATACCTTGCACAATGCATTTTCAGAATAGGAACCATCCCTAAAGCCATATTAATTTTCATTGATTAAATTATACTTGGTTATAAATGGCAACAACTTAAGCTTAATACATTTTTCTATCATTTTACTAATGGTGCTTGTTAAAGCAATAGGTCTATAATGATTTGTGATTTTTTTATCACCTTGTTTGTATAATGGAACAATTATGGTGCTTTTAAGTCTATCAAGGAAAATGCCTGAGCTAATGATGTTATTTATAATATGTTTTAATGGACTGAACAAATGAGCATGGGCATTTTTAATTGTGTTAGCCCTAATATTATCCTGGTCATCTTTTACATTATTAGTCAGGCTATTTATTTGTCAGATATTGGAGTGAAATAGAAAGAGTTCCGAATCGATTTAACCTTGTTCTTAATATCGCAATGTACTATTTTTTTGGTTAATGATTTAATAATTTTATTATAATAAATGTTGAATTCATTGGCTATATCTTTCTTGTCAAAGATTTCTTCATTATTACTATTCATGATGCTTTTATTTCTTTTTCACTTTTATGGTCATTAGTGGTCTCTTTAATTACATTCCACATTTTTTTGGGATCATTCGCATGTTTTAATGTTATATTTTTATAATGAGTATATTTAGCTTTTTTGATTATATTAGAAAGTGTTTTTCTATATTCTTTGTATTTATTTAAAAGTTCTAAGTTATTTCTATTAAGAGTACATTTTTTTTTAATTTATCTCTGTTTAGAATTGAATTTAAGAGGCCACCTGTGACCCATGGTTTTAATCTCTTATTTTTATTATTAAAATATTTCCTTTTAGTACATTTGCGTCACAAAACTTATAAGTTTATCTACAAGTATGTTAGTACTTACATTAATATCATTTTGGGCAAGAACATCATCCCATTTCGCTTCTTTGAAAATTTTGAGTAACTTGTTATTGTCTATGGTTTCATATGGGAGGTTATTTTGAGTTACTATATTTTTTTGTTGAGTTTTAATATCAAGCAGAATGGGATAATGATCAGTGACATCGTTCACTAGTATTACAGGATTCATCATCTAGAGTTCCTTATTTGTACACTTAACGAAGTAATGATCGATGCACATAGCTGTATCTTCAGTTACTCTTGTTGCTTTATTGATCATGCTAACGAATCCATAACTAATTGTTTGTTGATGTTGAGTTTAAGTCAAGCAAGTCGATATTAATATCTGCCATGATTATGTGCATACGATTTTGGTCCACTAATGATTCCTGCAAGATTAGGACAACATTATCAATGAAATCATCCTTGCCTATGGCATGAGATCTGTAGGTGGCAAACATATCTAGGTGAATAGAATCCTTGGATATTAATGCTTTGACCATTTTCACATTATTATTCATAACTATTTGATGATCATGGGAAGATCATCATTTAGATATATTTTTGTTTGGCGGCTTGGAGGCGACATTTATCTGTGGTTATACCTTTTAATTTCTTTATTGTGGTCAAGATCTCTCTTTTAGTGTTATTGTACTGAAATTTATATAAGAGATACAAATCTGTGCTTGAGACACTTGTTTGCTTCATGTCCTGATTAGTTAATGGAATCTTAAGTTAATACTTTCGAATACTGAAGAAAATTTCAACATATTGCAAAATAAAGGACGTGCCTGCAAAATTAAATAAACATTATATCTGATGCTTTAATAACAGGAGTTTCTTCTAATTTTATATGGCAAAAGCTAATATGTGTGTTAATATTACACATAAAAACTTATTTGACTCCTACATCAATCCTTTTAGTAACATTTCATAATTTAATCTACGAAATTACCCGCCACTTCATTATTTTCATATCCTATCTCTTTTTAAATAAGGTAATTTTTTTTAGCTGTATTTTTTTTCTTCTAGATATTGGACAGCAACAGAACTTCGTTAGATTCTACAATGGTCTTTCTGAGGTAAGAATATTTTTACAAATGGTGCTTTAATCAAAATCCAAAGATCAAAGAATATAAAAAGAAAGTAGAAACACCCCTAAAAAATATATGCATATAAATTAGAGAAGAAAAATAGTTTTGTTTCTATTTTTTGTTCTGCATTATGCAATAAAAATATGAAAACTAAACTTCAGTTTTTCTATTCAAAATTAAGTATAATAGGCATAATTACAAAAGACAAGTTATAAAAGAATTTAAAACCTGTTCCTTTTATGTCGTTTCTGTTTTTAATCAGACTTGGTCAGGAAAGTTTGACACATTCAATATATAAATTATATTCATTACACATTAAATTGTTATGATTTAATGCTATTGGATATAAAAAAGTTTGAAACTAGGCAAATTTTTAATAAATCGACTCATGCAACGAAGTCTATAGCAACTCATTTTTGGGAGTTTTTGAGTTACAATTATCCAGCTCATAAATTTACCAAAAGCTTTGATCTGGAAAAGTATAGTAAGTCTAAACGAAGAGGTTAGGCAATCAAAAATACTACCCTAAAATATAGTATGTCATTTTAGGCCATAAAATACTACGAATACTATATTATGTTAGATTTTCTCAAAACTAGAAACAATGAGTTACTATTTAGTCTTTGTTGCATAAGTTGAAATGTCATTAGATTGGCCAAAGAAATCATCTAAGTAATAATTTAAATTGCTTTTCTTATTGTGATGTTATTCCCTCTTAAATGATTATATTTTGCCCAATTTCGAATATAATGTATTTATTTATTTATTTATTTATTTATTTATTTATTTATTTATTTATTTATTTATTCAAAATCCATACAGGCTTTTCAGCCTTATTACATGGATAGTATACGATAATAACAAAATAATTAAGAACTTAAAATTAAAAAATGACATACCTACTAAAGCACTAAATTATAAATAATAAAAGCTAGAAAGGAGAAAAGAAAAAGAAAAAAACACGAAAACAACACAATTTCACCAAACAATATCAGATCATATACTCATAATTTCAAAATAATGTAGAAGTGTTTTCCGATATTCTTGATATGACATAGTCCAGTCTAAAATCCGCATCATATTTATATTTTAAGGTGAAGGGTGAGAAAAAGTCCTTTATATCTCACAAGGAAAGTCAATGTTTAATTGTTTAACAAAACATTGAGTGCGACCGGTTTCGAAGTGTCATCACTTCATCTTCAGGCTCGCCATACTCTCCATCCACTAGGGAATACTACAAAAACAAGTTTCATCAATTTTGGGTTGAAATAAATTGTAAAATGAACCGATTTACACGTAATAAAAAGTTAAAAATATTTGAAAAAACAAATATTAGTCAATTATAGTAAAAATTTAAAATATTCAAGACTATACAAAAACAAATCACATACATTAAACAGATTAAAAGATTTAATCTGTTTAATGTATGTGATTTGACACTTCGAAACCGGTCGCACTCAATGTTTTGTTAAACAATTAAACATTGACTTTCCTTGTGAGATATAAAGGACTTTTTCTCACCCTTCACCTTAAAATTACCGCAACTCACACATGGCTACCCCCCTTGTCATATTTATATTGTTGGCTAAACTTAGAATGGCGTAGAATGGAGAATGAGTAGAGGTTGTTTGTAAATTGAACATTAAAGGGCAACGAGTGCGTTTTGGAGGAACATTGATAGGAACAAGAGATAATAAAGTGCTAGATGAAATCTGATTATTCATTAAATTAAATAGAAATTTCATCATTGCTTGTTTACGTCTAATGATCAAAGAAGGAATTTCAAATTATTGTCTTAATGTCTGGGTTCTTATTTCATTATAGTCTGGCCAACGATGATATTTTTTATAATACAGATAGCGAAGAAACTTATTTTGAACCTTTTCAAGGGTATCTAAGTACATTTGTGGCTGTTGTTCCCAAATTATAGATGCAAAATCTAGTTTTGACAGAACAAGTGTATTGTATAATAATTTAATGGTTTCCAGGTTAGAAAATAATGAAGTTTGTCTTATAATAAACCCTAAAGTACGATTAGCACTTTTAACTGTATTTTCTATATGAGTGGCATATGATAACAGGCTATTGTATGTAACTCCGAGATCTTTCACTTCTGAAACTCTATTTAAAGATGTATCATTCATGTTATAATTAAAAATAACAGGTTCCTTTTTACGACTAATTGACATTACATAACATTTTTTTATATTAAAATTTAATTTATTATTTAAACTCCATTGATATATTGTTTTGATATCTTTCTGGAGCGCTACACAGTCTCTAACTGTTTGGACTTTCTTAAACACCTTAAAATCATCTGCAAACATTAAACAATCAGAGAATTTAACAGAAGTTGGCAAATCATTGATAAATATTAAAAAAAAGTAGTGGTCCAAGATTAGATCCTTGCGGGACTCCAGAATATGATTTTTTTTTGGACGAAATATTTCCATTGTATTTTACAACAGAGTGTCTATTTTTTAAGTAACTTTTGAGTAGCTCTAATAATTGTCCTGTAATACCTAAACTATTTAACTTTGCTAAAATAATATCATGATTAACTTGATCAAAGGCCTTACTGAAATCGGTGAAGATTACATCAAGTTGTAATTTTTCATTTAGAGATTTTGTGGCTTGATCCAAAAATATGAAAAGGTTTGTATTGATTGATTTCCCTTTAACAAAACCATGTTGTTCTTCTACTAAAATATTTTGAATATGTTTATATATTTTAAAATAAATAATGTGTTCAAACAGTTTTGAAGCAGCACACAAAATAGCAACACCTCTATAATTTTCAATGTCCTTTTTACTTCCCGATTTATGTATTGGTATATATGTTGCTAATTTCCACTGTGTAGGATACGATGAGTTTTTAATAATTAAATTAAAAATATGCAATAAGAGTGTCTTTAACCACTCTTGACAGCCTTTTAAAATGTAAGGTGGTATTATATCACTACCAGCACTTTTTTTTGGTTTTAATCTCTTAACCGCTTCATCATAATCATCTGAATTTATTGCATTTAAATGACATTGATTGTATTGATTTAAAGTAACGTTCACATGATCTAAATTATATACAGATTTTTCAGAGGAATGCACGGACAAAATATTCCGCAAATTTTTCGGCAATATCTTTGTCATGTATGTATATAATAGAAAACTATAGCAGCAATGAAAAAACTTTGGATAAAAATAATACTAACCTTTTTTTACATAAAAAATAGAAATGCATACAAAAATTTCAAATACATAAATAATATTTGGAATAATTTAAAAATATATAAAAGCTAGTAATAATAAAAGTACAGGGTTGTGCACCTAAGTGATTGAACACTTGTGTTGTGCAACTCCATACATTTTTTAACACAAATATAATATTTAGTAAACATTTTTTTTACATTAACGAGCACAATAAAATTTAATTGTTTTTTTTTTTATTCTAAAATTTTAACAAAAATCAATGTAATTTTGAAAAATTAATTTTCTGGTTTGAGCTGAAAAACGTTTAAGTTTAGTGATAATATAATCATTTTTCTACACAGTTGGATAAAGCACAAAACACTGCAGTAGCTACCCTGTTATCATTTAAATCCAGGTATAATTTCTCTAGAACAGAAAACATAGCATTGGTAGTATTTTGATCATATTGAAATCCAAACAGGGATGTAGATAGCACATGTGTTTTCTATGCCCATATCAGTAAACGTTAAAAATAGCACTGTCAACATTCCTTGTAAATGACATTTATCAATAACATGCATGTAATGAGATCTCATAACATACACGTGCGCTTTGATAAGACAACTTAAATTTCTTAGTTTAATCAAATTGCAATCAACTTTTTATCTACTTTCGACTTTATTTGGTATATTTACGTAAATTTAGTCAATTGAAAAACATAAAAACTTTTAAAATTAGCGAGATACATTTTGGATTAAAGCAGTAATGCCCCTAAATGTCGGCAACACACACAATTTTTCAAGTCGCGTTTTCTTATGGAAATAAACGTCTTATCATTTATATTGTCAAATTTTGTAACAAAATATTATATTCGAACATTTTCTCAACTGTACCTACGAATATATCTGTTAGTAGTGAAAGTGATGAAATTATGAGCACTCCACTGGAGATTTTAGAGAAAGCTCAAGCTGCCACACCTAATTTGTTACCGCTAAAATCCAAAAAAAGGTACGAAATTACCTATCGAAAATTTATGGATTGGCGACACAAGCATATTTATGTCCTTTATTTAATATAGGAAAATGAGTGGGCATAGAAAAAGTATAGTACTTTAATCGAGTTGTAAGCCCATTACGCACTAGTGAAATTTACGCACTCGCCGCTGCGCGGCTTCGTGCTGTTTAACAAGCTGTTTTTCAATGGATTTTAGGGCTAAATTAGAGAGTCTGTCTTCACTTGTTGAATTTCGTATAAAACTTTTAGAGCGCTTTCACACGAGATACGCGTATCCGAGATTCAGGCTGACCATACATATAAAATGGACCTATTCACACGGTACGGGCGACGCATACAGTTTCGCGATACGGAATTTCTGCATCCCGGCACCTCTAGCCGCGGACGCTGAATGCGTATGCCGTATACAGAATTACTATTACGATATATGGACCTTTTCAGACATGGATACTTTTGCAACGGAGATTATATCATAGGCGCAGGATTTTTCAATGGTAGGTAGTTATCCTGAGTGCGTTTAGTTTGATAGTTTAATTTATTTAAGAAAGGATTAAATTAGATGCACGAAGAGTTTTTTTTCAAATTATTTCAGGAATAAAAAATTAGCCTAAACTACGGAATTTTTATATTCCTTATCGTCTTTTCTACGCATATTGTATGCTCAGTCTTTTAATATTAAAGTAATGTACTCTACAGATGCATTTGCGTGTCAAACTCGTACATTTTTCTTGATAAAACAACATGAATTGGTTCCAAATTGATTTATGAGTTTTGACTGTATTAATTGG